TCTTGGCTGACGTTAATTTTCTTATTTCTTATCTCTTCATCACTTCTTGCAATGGGTTTAGGTGTGGAGTGAGGAGTGATGCCCGGGGCTGCAGGGTCTGTGAGAAACTGTGAGGAGCAGACACAGTGAGCATGTAGGGTGCCAGAATGGATGAGGGGAGAAGGCCAGAAAAAAGTGAATGAATTTCGACCCACCCATCTATCGTGACTCACAGGGAGCTGCTTTTCATAAAAATGCTTCCCACCCTTCCTCCCTCTCATTTGCTGAGGGCAGCAGCTTCCCTCAGTATACCCACTGCTGCCTCTTGGATCCTTGCCTGCAGGAGGAAAAAAGGCACCATGTACCCCTGTCCAGGGACTGCAAAGCTTGTTAGATAGCATGTATGGAGGGAATTACATCAAATATAAAATGTAGTTGTGTTTGGCAAGCTCTGGGACAGACAGAAGTTTTATAAAGAGGTCCTGGGAGCTGAATAAGCAGCCAGATGTTTCTCCTGCTGCTAAATCAAAGTGTTTTCTATTGTAAATGCACTTGCCCAAAGACTTTCTGAAGAGTTGATATTTCATAGCACTTTCTTTGCTGCTTGGCCAATCCTGAATCTGTGGAGGCCGTTTTAAAAAAAGGGGTCCAAGCCTATAACTGGTCTAAACTCTTATCTACTACATTGAGTTTTGCATGACTAAAGAGTGCACAATCAAACCTGTAGATTTTGGGGATTGTTTATTTCTTCCATATGCTGGCACATGTGTCTGAGCGGGTATCAAGGACGTGGTTTGATGTATCTGGTTGTAAGTATCCAGAATATTTCTGTAGTAGCCCAGATTTCTTACACAGAACACCACCAAACAGAGCATCACTCTGGGGCCCGTTTTAGACACAGTATGAGTCAGTGCTGCTCTACCTGTCTCAGCATTGTCTGTTCAACAGCAAAATGACCTCATGGCAGTGTTACCCAGTTGCTTGGGAACAATCACCTCAAGGCAGGGCATGGCTCCTTTCCAGAGGAAGCCTTTGGGCATGATGTTATGAGGTGTGCAGGGCTTTATTCACCCAACCATGGTGTCTCTGGAGCTGGGAGGTGCCTGGTGAGTCTGCCCATGTTCCATCTGCTCAAGCCCAGTGGAGGAGGCCCAGACCAAGTCAGGGAGCTCTTTTGAAGGACACAAGAAAGTGTGCTTTTGCACAAGCTGTGACTTGTACAAGGTTGGTTGCTTGCAGTATCTTTCAGCCCTTCTTGCCTATCCATGCAGAAGTGCAGCTCTATCTGCTCAACTGCCTCACCCACCTGTACAAGATGTGCACTTGTACAGCACTGCCTGCTGGTCCCTTGGCTCCTGCTGGTCTCTGCTCTATGCTCATTCAAGAGGGAAGGGTAAGAGAGGCTGGGACAAAACTTTAGATCATCTGAGAGCAGGAACAGAGCAGTTTCAGATACAAAATCTACTGGATCCCTGCTTGCCTGAAGTTTTTGTTCATTTTTGGAGTCCTTTTGTGTAAGCTGGCTGATAGCTGCCAGTGCTCTGAGCACCTCTCCCTGCTTTCCCCCCAGCCACATGCCTGCCCCTGCTGCTTCCCATGGACCAGGCAGGGATGTGACAAAAATAAAAGCAGGAAAACATCACAGTGGCAGCTCTGTGCTCCTCTCTTAATAACAGAAACGCCTTTTGCTTGGCAGCACTGAGATAAGCCCAGACCTTACTGTGAGGGGGGAAGGGAACATTATTAGTAGCTATAAATCATCCTAAAAGGATGGGGGCTGGGTTCCCTCCATACCCTGCCCTTGTGCAGACATGTTTGCTGTGAGCAGACCTGGCAGAGAGTATGAGCTGGATGTTGTAGGCAGTAGTTTGAGGAAGGTTGCATTTCAGGGCATTATTTCCAGACCTGAAGAAGCTGGATATTAAAACATGTTTACTTTTGGCAGATACACATCTCTTTTATATTTTTGTGCAACCTTGTAGCTTGTGCTTAGGGGAGAGGATTATGTGAGTACCTGAGTGCATGGCATAGCCCCTGTGCTACCAGTGGCACTTACCTGATGGAGAAGAGCACTTGCATTTCCAGTTCCTCTGAAGTGGATGCAGCAGGGAACTGACACCAGAAGTACTGGCAGTGCACAGAGATGTCACTGTGAATGCCAGCTGCTCTTCCTGGTGGCTCTTGGGGGTTCCTCAGGAGGCTTCAGTATTTCAGTGTCCCTGGTTGCTGTGGCTTAGCTGTTCCTGGTGATACGTGATTGCTTCTACCAGCCTATCATGTATTGTATAATTATCAGAAATACAGCAAGCCATATGGCTCAGTCTCCAGCAGTGTTCCAGTGCTGGCATTAATCCACTGTTGTTCTTGACCCTTGGCAACTTATCTGATTGACAATGAATCATGGTAACAGTGTACTGAGCTTGGTGTTCCTTACAGGGGTGAGTAATGTGCCTCTCTACCTCTTTTGGTAGCAGAGGAAACAAAGGCCCCAAGAAACCAAGTGACTCAGTTAAGGTCCAGAGATCAGGACAGGACCCACACTGCATTTCCTGCAAGCTCCTTTTGCTTTAATGATATCCTTAGGGACCTGTCTTATGGATTTTATAATGACAGCTCCCAGATCTGGTGGGACTGTAGGCAGCTATCAGTGCTCAGGATTTCTTCAGAGCTTTGAACTGTCCCTGTGTGCAGGTTTTGGCTGGGGTAGAATTGTTCACAGTGGCTGGTAAGGGGCTGTGGTTTGGATTTGTGCTGAGCACAGGGTTGATAATACAGAGTTGTTTTTGTTATTGCTGAGCAGGGCTTACACAGAGCAAAGCCTTTTCTGCTTTTTGCACTGCCATGCTGGTGAGGAGTCTGGGGGTGCATGGGACAGATGACTCCAACTGACCAAAGGGATATTCCAGACCACGTGGCATCATGCCCAGCATATAAAGAGGGGGAGGAAGGGGAGATGTTTGGGGTGATGTTGTTTGTCTTCCCAAGTAACCATTATGCATGATGGAGCCCTGTTCTGCTGTGGATGGCTGAGCACCTGCCTGCCCGTGGGAAGGAGTGAATTCATTCCTTGCTTTGCTTTGCTTTTGTGTGTGGCTTTTGCTTTCCCTATGAAATTGTCTTTATCTTAGCCCAGAAGTTTTCACTTCTACTCTCCCGGTTCTCTCCCTGGTCCTGCAGGTGGGGAGGGAGTGAGCAGCTGAGTGGCTGCTGGCTGGGGTTGAACCACAGCACCCTGTCACAAGGTTTACAGAGGCGCTCTCAAGGCAATGAATCCAGATTGCACTCAATGGCCTCAATAGGTCACTGGTCAGCTGAGGGCTGCAGCTTGGCAGGTGGTGATCTTCGCATGTAAATCAGATTCTCTGTGTCCATTTGGTGCTTTGTCTGGTATGTTCATCAGCACTTCCTCTGTCAGTTCAGGGACTGCTTGCAGCATTCAAAGTGGTGTGCAGGTATACATCCTCTATTGGTTGACCCATCTGAAGTTCTTTGGATTAATGTTGAGCACCTTGGTCAGCTTGGACATCTGTGATCCACTTTTGTGTCCTTTTTTTTTCCATTAAACACTTTCCTAGTAGAGAGCTGAAAAAAGAAAAGCAGCTTGTGATTTTTCTTCTGGTTGGGGAAAACAGCCCACTACAGTTGTGAGGAGATATGCTGAACAGGTTTGACCCAGGGAAAACAGTGATTGCTGCTAATGTGTGACACCTCTGGAAGGGGAATGTTTCCCTGAGGGCAATGATTTGCCAACCAAACCCTAGTTAGGAGGGATTTCTAAATCTTGTGAATGGTATTTATGTCTGAAAGCTCTGCTGGGTTTACTCAGCTGCTTTCCAGCATGCTGGAACCTAGCATGAATGTGTAGAATGAATACCAGTTGTAATGGACTCATAAATGAGGTATGTCTCAGCTGCAAGGCATGTTTTAATCTGTACTCATGTCAGGGAGCAGTCCACCCTTCTCATTTCCTCCGCCTGTTAAATAATGGATGAAAGCCCATAGAAATCATTACACACCTTTCACAAACTCATTAAAACGGCACAAAATCTTATGTAGTGTTTGCAAAGCCACAAATGTGATGTTATTCACCTTCTGCCCAAGCAATAAGTTTGGCCCAGAGGTCTCAGTTGTTAAGAGGACACCTCTTTAAAAGAAGTGTAAAATGAAGAAGCCATTTAGTTGATTTGTTTGAAAATGCCAAGTTTTAGCTGGGACCTTTTTCATGAGGAGTGTCATGCTGATGGCATTGCTGCATAGTGCCTTCTGTCTGGGGCCACATGGAGAGGAAGGGGAGATCAATATGGCAACAGGTGTCAAGGTGAGCTGTGATCAGGCAGGGGGGTTGGTGCTTCTGCTTCTTCAGACACTGTTGACAGCTTGTGATTTAAGGATGACGTTTCTGATGCCTTTGCCCTTTCCAATCTGCGTAGATCACACACTGCTTTGGGATTGATCTTGCTGAAATCAGTAAATGTGTGTTGCACCTGTTTCTGGGAAAAACTATATTATTACAACTAAAGAAGGAATCCAAAATCTTGAGTCCAAACCTTTCCTTAAGGAAGAAAACGAATGAAATTGTAATGCAGGCAAAGCTGTTTATGATTGGCATTGGTATTGCAATGACTCTGATACTCTTTTCTGTCACCTCTGTTCTTAGGGACTTGGACTTCTGTCTGTCCTCAGCGCCTTCTGTTTCAGAGAGCACTTCTCTGTCCACAAAAGAACATAGTTGCTTTCTTTATGATCTTGCTCTCTAGCATGAGAATTGTCTTGAGTGAAAACATGATTTCTGTTATTTACCTGTTGTTCTCTCTCCAGATTTCTATCTGTGGGTGCCGAAACAAAATCCTTTATCTAAAAGACCTAGATAAATTTCTTCTTAGAATTTACTTTCATTAATTTTACGTTCTTTACTTCCAGGTACCAGTGAGAAAAGCCACAGCTTCTCCAACTCCTTTTCAAATGTTGCTATGGAAATCTCCTCCCTGGAAAGCCCATTCACTCTTTTTGTTTTCTCTTAGGTGACTCCAGGCAGCAAAGCTGCAATAGCCAACTTGTGTATAGGAGACCAGATCATAGCCATCGATGGAGTGAACACAGACAACATGACACACCTTGAGGCACAAAACAAAATCAAGGGCTGCACGGATGAGCTGACCCTGACAGTCAGCAGGTACGTAGCTGGGCAGGACTGGGGCTGGAGAGAGGGAGGATTGCAGGGTGGGCAGTAGCTGTGTTTTGGTGTGGCAGAAGGCCTCTTGCTTGTTTAACTTGACCTCTTAGTGCTTTGTCTGGCAGGTGCTGGCTAGCAAAAGGGAACTGCATTTCATCCTTTAATCCTAATGCTGCTTGCATTTGCTGCACTTTGACCTTATGAAAACAACTTTCCAAGTGAGAAATTGGCTGATAATTTATGGCAGGGTCTGTCAACTTACTCTGTGGCTTCTGGCAGCAAGAAACCAATGATAGTCTCATGAAAACTTCACTCATAGCAGAGGAGGTGCAACCAGAGATGGCCTTCCTTCCTGTTGCACTCCTTTAGCAGTTGAAATATATGCCTATATGTTATTCCAGGCAATTAATTGCCTGGTTTCTGACAAGCACAGACTCAGAAATATTGTACATTTTGAAGCCTCTTGATCAAACAGCACTGTCAGCCTCGAACAGTGATGACCCAGGGTGCAACAAAGTTCCTCTTAGGCATCAGACTCTCCAAGTCCTGAAAAACTAAAGGCAGGTGACAGCTGAGCCACAATTTCTGCCACTACTGTAGAGCTCAGACTGACTTCAGCCTTCCCACCATCTTGAACTGCAGAGCAATGGACAGCTTCATTCCTTTCCCCAGCCAGGCTTTGTTCTTGGGCCCTCTTTGTACGGAGAGGAGATGGAGATGGAAAGGCAGGGCTCTGCTTTGCATTGAACTGCTGCTACTTAAAAGAACTTCAGCCTGCTATTTTTGAGGGTGCTGGGGATTTATCCTTCCTTTTTGTGTAAATTGCAGCTGCAGATACCAGTGGTTTTCAAAGCTAGGTGGTAGAGGCAGTATGGCATTTCTACTTGCCCTGCAGCAAGTTTTGCCTGTGTCTGCCTTCCCTAAGAGGGATCATCCATCAGTTTCAGGGCAGATGCAGGGGAAGTGCTTTCAAAAGGAGTGCAAAAGCATGCCTTCAATGACACAGTGGTCCAGTTGTTCAGGGCTTTTCTGTGATAAACACAAGTCTTTACCATGGCTTGGACAATGCCAGGAGTTCAGCAGGCATTTCCCAGTTCAGGAGGAAGCGATGGGTCTTGGCCAAAAAATTGCCTGGTGGTTCATTAAGGGAACTCACAGAGGGAAGAATGGAGCACAGTGCAGGCAGTGTCAATGGGTAGTGAACGCTGCAGCAGCCTGTTAACCCCAGAGTTTTTGTACTGGCCTTGAACTTAGCAGCGTGTAATCTTCCTGCAAAGGAGTGTTCCTTTTCCTCTCCAAAATCCAGCTGCTTGACTTGGCAAACCAGTGCCATGTGGTTCTGGCTGGGAAAGAGGAAGGGAGGCAAGGGCTCTTTCAGCCTGCAGGCAACTTCACTCTTACAGATCATTGAGTCTGTAAAATGTGTTTGCTAATGTTAATTACAATGTCGTTAAGTTTATAGCTACCCTATGCACATTTCATTGGCCTTGGGCTTGGAAGCTGCCATGGGAGAGATTTCTAGCTGGATCTGCAGCTGTGTAAAATTGTGCAGGGGCTTTCAGTTTACACAACTCCACTCTTTCAAGACCCTCTTTAAACGAGGTAGCATTAGTGTGTGTTGGATGCTTCTGCTGCTGTACTGATTACTGAGTTCTGCTGACAGAAGGCCAGGAAGAGTGTCAAAACTGCAAGAATGTGAAAGCAGTGATCTGACTTCTTACACTTTAGAGTTTGATATTATTACCCATTGCTCTATGGAAAATCTGTGTACATCATGTTGTCTTTCCTGGTTGTACTCTGTTGAGAAGATTTTATCCCTTATGCCCAGTGTCTCCTTCTAGGCCCCCATAATTGTGTTGGTCTAAATGTAGCTGCTCTCAGTGGTCAGAAGTGCTATGTAGTCTTTATTGCTGAGGCAGGAGCATTTCTTTTTACTTTACAGTCTAAGGCCTTAAAATGAAAGGCCTTGAGAGGGTGCCTAGAGAGGTGACAGAGAAAGCATTTTTAAAAGACCTGGAGCCATACTTCACCCTCCTGCTCACCTTAAGGTAGGGGAAGTGGGTGAGGAAAGCAGACTGTGGTGTGGTGGGGATCCCTCCTCTGTGAAGAAGGGAAGGGCATTGCCATGGGGATGGAGGGGTTGAAAGGCTCTTGGGGAAAATGAGTGCCACCTGGCCAAGTGCTGTGGCTTGGGCTTCCTGAGCTTTGGTGGGCACAGCTCTGTCACTAAGGCTTGGCCGTACAGTTGGTGAGGAAGGCTCACAATACAGTCAGGTCAGAGCTGAAAGTTTTTTCTCTGTCAAAGTAGCTCTGTAAATAGTTGGCTGAGTATGAAAAGGAATGTATATCATTTGCACAGCAACACCAGCAGCCCTTGGGTCTGGTCTCCACTCTGTGCAGTTGTAGCTCATTAGCTGAATCAGTTGTGCCCAGGAGCTGCGCTGGCACAGATCCTTGCTCTGACAGAGCAGCACCTCTGTGGGTTGGAGCATTACCCCGCTGGTGGGAGGATGTGCCCAGCTGGGCTAGGTTTTCTGGAGTGAGAAGTCTTCCCTGTCCTCCTTTTCTACTCACCGTTGGAGAGATGTCTTGTGAAAGCATAAGTCCTTAGTGATTTTTAAGTTGCTAGCTAATGAATTTTGAATGATTACTTATTTAAATGATTACCCATGCTAAATATTCTCTGACCTGCATTCAGTGTGGCAACAAGGTTGTGCCAGGTGGGTTTCAGACACAGGTCTGAGCTCACACCAGGTGTTTCAGTTTCACCAAAGGATCAGCACTGTTGTGACAGTGGAGACTTCATTTGTGACTGTGCTGTACATGTGATGAGTGCATGTGGTTTGAAGACCCTAGTGGGTGAATTAGTGCAAGACAAATCTTTAAAAGATGATATACACAATGGAGGTATCTCTGCTGCAGAAAACCTTTAAGCTGCAAGTAGCTGGAAGCTAGGAGAGTGTTTCATGCTTGTCTTTTTCATCTGCTCTTCTGTGAACCAAAACAATCTTTATACATGTGTGTTCTTCAAATTGGCAACTCTGTTCTCTTTTAACGATAGCCAAGCAGTTAAGATGTCTTCATGTTTGGCTTACTAATGATTATTTAAGAGAAGTGTAAATATAGAGAATTGAAAGGACTTAAATGCTTCTGGTAAAGGAAATGCTGTTTGCACTGTATGCTTGATTGTGTATATCAACAGCATTCCAATGTTTCCTGTTTCGCTATTTGTCTTAGCAATGGTAACAGTCCAAAAATATTTCAGATCAGATTGTGGGCAGGAAATCTTGTCTAACACAAGTCACCATTAAAAACGTATCAACTTTCTAGCTAGCTGAAGAAAACATGTCTGGTCTGCTTTTTCACCCAAAGGAGCAAATCTCATAATTTCCTAGGATTTAAAACCCAGCCACAAATTGCTTTCTTTGAGTACTCTTTCCTAAGTGGCAGTGCCCAGTGCTTTGCTGTTTGACTTGTGAACAGAGTTGGAAAGGTCTGTCTTCTGCCTCAAAAGTGGATATTCAGCAATGTTGCCAAAGATAACAAATTCCCACTGAACTCACTGTGTCCAGCAGCTCCTGCTCTCTTCTGAGCCTGTTTGTTCATTCATTTTGCTTTTTGTTTGAAAAGAAATGTAGTTACCAAGAAACCAAAGTAAAGGTTCCATTATTGTCTTCAGCAGTGTAAAATCAAGCTCAAGACAGTGCTTCAGTCAATTCAAGCCTACCTGGTTGCTGAACTGAGGAATTCATAGGGAGGTTTTTGAGTTTCTCCATAGGAAAAATGAAGTTGGAGTATTTTAGAAGAGCTATGCTTCTTTTTCCTGGTGATTTCATTTTTTCAAATTAGGGTGTGAACACCGCTGCACTGATATGTTAGGGTTGAGCTAAGCCTCTCCCAGCATTGCTCTCCATTAATGGGGGTAAGCAGCAAGATGTGTCCAACAAATTGGAGACAGTTATCAACTTTCTTTGGAAATGTAGTGTATTTTGAGTGAGATGCTTTCCCTGAATAAGAGCTTTTAAAGCAAAGAAGGTGCAGGAGAAACAGATACTCCTACCACAAAATTCACAGGATAGCCAAATGATCCAGGCGTCACCCCTGTCAGTGGAAGTGCTCATGATGAATTTGACGCACAGCTCTGTTGTGGCTGCAGATGTACAAAAGCAGACAAATGTTCATTGCAGCACAGGTGAAAACTATTTCTATAACAAATGGCTCTTTGCCTCTGGCTATAGTCACCAGTTGGGTGGTGCAACTGTACAGGCCTGAGCAACTCAAAGGTAAAGTGTATATTTATATAAGTGTTTTTTTCAACAAAAAAGGTGTTCCTGTAGTGAGTCTGTCCTTCCCTTTATGTCTGGAGGCAGTTTGAGGGTGGTAGAGGAGAATATTTTTTAAAAAAGGTTGCAAATATGTAATGTCCTGTTCTGCTTCTACTGTAATTTTTCTCAAGTTTCAAGCTGCTTTTCTGCTACTCTGCTGCCAGTTTATGCACTTTTTTTGTTTGCAAAATAGTCTTTTAAGTTGTTGAAAGTGCTGCCAAGGAGTGAAGCTATGTATTTGTTCTTTGAAAAGTGCTAGGATCAGGGAAGTCAGGTCTGCTCCCAGGACCTGTTAAATGGATTGTCAGAAAGGATCATGTGTAGATGTAAAAGAAGAAGAGAGCACACATGTCGCGTCCTTTCATTTTGTGTGGTAGGTATGCTTGCACTCTTGCTCACTCCATGTGTTGCCAGGTCTGAGCTGTGGGGAATAGTTGCACAAAGCCACAATAGGCTTGGATTTCTGTTCTAGGAAGTCGGTGGAATCCGTTGACTCATTTAGGTTTGCTTTTTTGCTTCCTTGCCAAGAAGAGTTTTCCAGTTCTGTCATCTTACTAATAATTCCTTTGGCCCTGGGAAAAGCCAGCTGCTCAGTGTGCAGCTATATAAGGCCATGCAGGTTGCCTGGCCCTCTGTGGCCACTCCCAACCTCTCCATGGCCAGTGTGGTGCTTCCAGCCCTTGTGGGTGCATGCCAGCAGCTTTTACTAACAACAGATATGTTCAAAGTAATTTTGGCATATCAAGATTGGTATTTGTTGTGATTTTACAGCCTCTTTGGTGAGGCAGTAAGAGTTAACTCTGCAGCTGGCCAGCCAGAAGAGTGTGAGTCTGAGCAGTCAGTGTCTGAGCCTTTGTAGCTGTCATGAACCTGCTCCAGATACACAGAAGAAGCCACAGCAGTTTAACTGGAGTTGCCTTTTTGGTTTTAGTGGTTGTATAAAGAGACACCTGAAATGCAAGAGGGCATGGACACATGCATTTGGGGTCTCCTGTCTCCAGGAAGTTGTGACTGTCATTGCTGTTTGAATTGGCAGGAGGCTGTATGCAGTCTGAATACAGTTTTGCTTGCCAAACTGAATATGTCCATTAATGGATGTTTGTTAAAAGTGACTACTCATGTTTAAAGCTAAGGGCCTGTATTTGACAGCTGTTGCAGCTAAAAGGCTGATTAAAAGGTCCCTTCCTGGTAGCCTGACAGCTCTTGTAGTTAGTTTCTAATCTTTATTAAAATGCCTGTTGAAAACTCTGGTGAGAGGATTGTGAAAGATAAATTCTTTAGGTCTTTCCTCATTTTTCAGCTAAAAAACTTTGTGCTGGACAAGAAACTTTTCAGTCTTTTGGGGTTTATTTGCTACTTGGTATCTTAGATGTGTCCATCCCAGTGTTTGAAATGAGATGTGAATGAATGTAGATATGCCTTTCTTCTTTATGGAAATTACACAGTTCCTGGCACAAAGAATTAGACCCTCATTTTCCAGCTCTTTTCCCTTGAAGCTATGGCCCAGCTTTGCACGCAAAGCACTGATAGCAAAATCCAGGCTCTTGTAATGTTTATATTACATCAGGTTCGAGACAAGCTGCTTGAAAATTGTTGTTTCATAAATACCTCTCCATATTCCTGCCTTGACTTGCATGTGGTTTCCTTCCTTCTTTTTCCTGCCAGTACCTCTTCATCCAAACTAGCATCAGAGAAATGTCTTTCTAATCTTGGGTTTTGGTTTCTGCCTGGATGAAACAGGAGATGCATGGCTCATTCCCTGGCCCTAAGTTACTCTCTGTCCTGTAGTAAGGAAACAACATGGAAATGTGAACTGCAAAAATGTCAGAGTTTGTGTATAGATGTGCCTGCTGTTAATTTTCCTGACCCACATTCTCCGGCTTGTTTGTGTCATGTTTTTGTCTCCTTCACTGTTTTCAGTATTGCTCTCTGATGGAGTCTCATTTGAAAGAATATGGATTAGAAACCATATAATAAAATAAATATTCATCAGTTTATCAGGAGTTTCTGAGATCTGATAAGGATGCCAAAGCCCCTGGCTTTCCTCAGACGGGGTGGGATTCCCCAGCAGGCTGTTGGACAGAAAGATCTCCAGAAGGCCCCTACCAGCAGCAGCCTGGTGTGAGCTGAAGGTACTGTTACCGAGGCTGGGTTTAGCTGCCTACTCTGACACCTGCTCCCTCCTTCATATAGCTAAGATATGGAACCATATGGATAAGATACAAACACAGTGAGTCTAATCTGCCCTGCTCTTGCTGCCTGGTGCCCACACTTCCCAACACTGCAGAAAGTAAACCCTGGGCCAGTAGTGGGACATAAGGTGAACTTTTAGGTGGTGTTTTTCTTCCTCCTGCCACACTTCAGTAGAATTACAGACATTGACACAAGAAGCAGAATCAGGAAACTCTTCCCAAGAGCTGGGACTATCGTGGTTGTACCTAAGACCCACAGACTGTGGGCTCCTCAGGTGGGATGGGGCACATGCCTTGGAAGATCTGCTGGGTAAAGCCAGGGAGAGCAAAGCTGTGTCCTTTTTCTGCTTCACTGGGGCCATAAATGGGCTGCTGAGAGTGGCTGAGGGGCTCTTCTGCAGCTGTTGTGAATACAAAGGGCAGCTTTATCTTCCCTGCCTCAGAGGGACAGATGCATGGCCTATTTAACATTTCTGTTTGGATAACTTCTAGATTGGATTGAAAGTAAAGCTTGGAGTGACCTTGCTGCTTCCATTTATATCCAGTGACAGAGCAGGATGGCAGCAGTCTGGGGAACAAACTTGAGCTATTTGCCTTGCTTATAAATAAAGAAGAAAAATTTGGTCAAACCCCCCATGGGCTGCAGTAGTTTGCCATAATTGCCTCCTCTCTTCTGGAGACCAAAGTGCTGTGTGATCAGCACCTCAAATGCACTGAGGGCAGTGGGATGAAATCAAGTGCCTGAGGGGAAGTTTCTGTTCCATATTCGTACACTGGCCTGCTCTAGGCTTAAATTTTTCAGTGTGAATAAAGCCGTCTCATACTTCTGAAAGCTTATAAACTGCTATGAAAGAAAATGCTACCTCAAGAGTTCTTGGATCACTGCTGTGAGAACTGGCACAGGGATGCCTCATGCTAGAGATAGCAGAAGTGTTTAATGCTCTCTGAGCTGCTCGTTCATCTCCAGCCAATGTCCCTTTGCTTATAGCCTGGCTGGCTGGGTGTCTCATTTCCATACATTTTGCTGTGTCCCCTGTTTTTCCAGAGGAGATGAAACTCGGTCACACATGATCTCCAAACCCTTCCAAGGAATAAGGCTTTGTATTGGTCATCAGGCTGCTTCCCTATGTGCAAACAGTCTTCAGGTGTGGAAAATACAGCCATCCCTGATGGGACTTTGTAAGGCTTGATATCCATAATCTGGGTGAAATTGCTGGTTCCTCAGGCACCTTAAAACATGGACGTCCAGAAGCAAGGAGAGAATGGTTATTTTGTATTCACCTGAGACACGTTGGACCTCCAGTAAGAGCAGCTGTTGTGACAAGATGATGATCAGATTGGTGTGGATCTGATACCAGGCAGCTGTTAGTCATGCTTGTCTGTGTGTGCCCCAGCTTGCCCCATGGCAGCATTTGAGTGGCATGGGTTGTCAGGGATCTGCTGGGCTTGCAGGATGCAATAACCAAGAGTCAAAGGTTTGCTGTACCTGAATACTCATAAAGGATATCAGGTGTGACCTGTGTGTTTGTACTTTTCCTGTGAAAGCACAGCAGCCTTCATTCAGATTTCTTCTGTGTAAAGTCCACTGTGCAATAAAGGGAATAGCAGGTCAATAAAACTATTCTTCTTTCCTGGCTGAGAATGCTGCCTCCCATCTCCTCCCACCGAGGTGCCCTCTAGGTGCAAATATTGAAATGCTGTTTATGCAGCAAATGTCTGGGATGTATACGTGCATCTCTGCTAAGTTTGGGCTGTTTAAAAAACATTGTGACTTTGGAGGGCTTTTAGAGGGATGGTGCACACAGACTGAATATGTTGTGGGTAGCTTTATACCCTGTTTCTCCATCCTTGTCAGCCTTTTCTTTTTCTAGTCTCTTCCTCCTTCTCTAACTGAAAAATCTCTTTCCACTGATCCAGTTAGTTTGCGAATGGAAGCATTCCTGTTTTGCTACTAAGTACTTAAATTATAGCTAGGCCTTGACCCACAAATACCTAGGAAGTACATCTACTTCCAGTTCCAGATTCCAGAAAGGGCTTCTGTCAACAGGACAGAAACATAGTTTTCAGACCTCATCCTGAGAGTTTATCAGCCATCTGGTTGTTGCATGATGCAATGTTTAGCATTGAACAGCAGTTTTCAATCAACAATACTGCAGTCACTCATTCCCTACTATTCAAATGTTTGGGGAAAGTGGCACTGTTTAATCCATCTGAGATGGTAATACCGTCTTTATTCTGAGAAATGCTTCCCACAACATATTTCGAGCAAATCCAAGCACTCCAGTTCTTCCTGACCATTTGTTTGTCATTCTTTGGGATATAGCAGAATTCCACAATGAGGATGGTAAAAGCAGTTGGTTTTAGTTGTAGATCTTGACTTGTGTTTCAGACTACTGTGAGTAATTGGGTCAGACCACAGACCAGTAAAGGTTATGTAGACTTTCTCTGTCACTTGAGGTCGTCTCAGTTCTTGGTCCCATTGCAGGCGGGGTTTGGTTTTTTTTCATCATTCTAAAAGGCCTTCTGTTTGTTCAACATGGATACCACTATAAATAAGAAGCAAATTTGGGAGACCCAAATGAGAAAATGTTTCTAGCTTATCTCCAAGGCATTCCAACCTCAAGAACAAAATGTTCTTTATATAGTAAATACAGACAAGAATCATTCCTCTTGCTAGCTACCCATAAAAGCTGAAGCACATAGCAATCTGAATTGTCCCACTTAATTAAGGCATCTGCAGGATAACTCCAGCTTCTGCTTTTGGGTATCCCCCAGCTTGACAGCCTGGGTGGGAGCCTATGCCTGATGTGTTGCCTGTGGAGTCACAGAGAGTAAGCCAGGACAGTCACTACTGAGATCTTGTCTTGCTCCAAGGACCTCACTTATCTAAGCCACCTACATTGTGTACCTAAAATGAGGCTGTCTGGATTCCTCCTGATGTGGGTTGTGCTATATATGAGAGACTGTGGAAAAGTTTGAGAAATTGTTGAACTTTGAGCCTTTTAATAATAATTATGGTGTCACTGATGAAAATAGATTAATTATTCAAAATGTGTGTGTTGCAGATCGGAGGCAAAAGTCTGGTCACCACTTGTAAGCGAGGAGGGAAAGACACATCCTTATAAGATGAATCTGGCCTCTGAGCCACAGGTAAGTCCTGGAATAACTGCTCTTGTTCCCTCTCACTCCTGTGAGAGATGTTCTGGGCTTGATCCTCCTAGGAGCTGAGTATATGCCACTCTGATAATCGTGTTGGGGGTAGCATCATGCCCCATACTATCAGAGATCGTGTGGCCCTTGGAGGCCTTGAGAGCTGGACTCCCTCCCTCATGCTGAGAAGCCTGCTGCTGTGGAGAGCTAATGGGTGCCATGCCTGAGCTAACCTGTTGGGTCAGAGGTGTCTCCTGCCAGCTGCCTGCTCACACCTACCACAGGGCACAGAAGGCACTGCAGAAGTGTGGCTCAGTAAATCATTGCTACTGTACTAAGCCAGTTAGTTGTCATAGATAGAAAAGACTTGAGGGGAGAGGAATATCACTGACTCAGGGTTTTCTCTTTGTTTGGTTTGGATTTTTTTCTCTTACACAGTAAGCTCTTAGCAGTCTAGCTGTGGAGAAGGTGGGAGAGAAATACACGAGCATCTTACGTGTTTATCTGTGTGGCAGATCATGCAGCCTCTGTCTAGGAAGTTGGTTTTGTAGCCTGTTGACAGCCTTGCTTCATTGGCCTGCTGCCTCTGTCAAGTAAATATAGTAATAACAGCAACCTGTGCAAGGGCCTCGCCTGGACTAGATTTAGAGGATTACACTGCAAAAAATCCAAAATAACTACACTAAAGTCAGTGGCATTCTTCTGAATTTTCACTGGGGCAGTGACATGGCCCCAGTGGATTCTCACCCAAGCACACATCCCATGTGAGTCTTTCTAGCAAAATAAGTATATTATAAAACTAGTTTGACTCTGCAATTACTTAAGCACTAACATGGCTGTTTTGGTTGGAAAGGACCTGAGACTAAAGCAGCACATGTGCAGCAGCACCCTGCCCAGACCTTGGCCTGGGATCTGTCCATGTTCTCTTTCACATCAGGCTTCTCTGTGTTGCTTGGCCCAAGGAATTGGTGCGGCATTCTCCAGGTATTTCATAACTCTGCCAAGGCACAGTGTGAAACTGAGCCATTTTGACTTAGTTTGAGCTGGAGCCATGTGGTAACACCTGTCTGTGACACTGTTGGGCTGAGGTCTGGTCTGTGCCTTCTGCTGCCCAGGTATTGGAAAGACTCTGCTTCAACCTTGGGACTTAGGGGCTGTCTCTTGCCGAAGGAGTGGGGCAGAGTCTGGACTGAGGCTTTGCTGCTGTGATACAGAGAGCTGACATTTAATTCAGCAGGAGATTCAATCCTAGAGACCAATTTCCCAATGCAGCCATTAGCAAGAATTCAGCTAAATGCCATAAAATCAAACATACAGCACAACACATGCCCTAGGTGGGATTTTAAAGTAGCTCACTAATTTTAGTTAACTGCAGCAAGAAACCAGCTGCTGAACTCCCCTGTCACTCACTGCCCCACCACAGTCCAATCTAGATAGATGGTCAGAATTTAGCAGTAATGCTGGTGGAGAAAGACATTCCCTCCTAAGTCTTAGATCTGGTTCAGGCTCTGGCCACTGTATAGATATCGTGATACTGCTAGTTTATAAATATAGTACAACTGAATTTATTGGTAATAACCTCTAACTGACTCGAGCAGGAGAATTTGATGCACAGCTGAGTGGAGAAATTCATGTTACAGAGCTTATCTCTGAGCAGTAACCATTGTCTTAATCTTATACTAAGAATCAATGGTGGCCTGAAAATTAGCTTTGACCCTTTGATGGCTGATGCTAGAAGAGTTATTTCCTGGTGTGAAAGGAACATTTAAACTCACAGAAGTCTTGTCTTTTCTTATTCCCTTTCTTTAAATTAAAGCAGATTAAATAATTTAGAGTTGTGTATGTGAGTGGGGTTTGCTGCTGTTCAGAACACTGGGCTTAACATTAAGGGGCTTCACTTGCTGCATACTGAGACAGGAACTCAGCAGTGTGAGGGGAGATGCATCATGTCTCCAAACCACAAACTCCTATTTACTCTTAAGGCAGAACAGTGCCTGAACATCCTAATCTGCTATGCCAAAGCATCAGGAATACCATCAAGTTGTAAGGCTGTGGGGTTTGTTGTTTGGTGGATTGTTTGGGAGTTTTTTCCTATTTGCCTTTTCAGTAGCTGACTACAGCAAGTAAGTTTTGTAGTGAGGTGTTTCTGCTTGGAGTGTGAATTCAGAAGAGCATGCTAATTCCTGCCAGAGCATGTGGCAAGTGTTGGCCAAGTCACTCTGGGGCTGTGTCTTTGCAGCATCATCAGGGGTTTTGGCCAGGCCTGCTGCAAATCAGCAGTAGCAGAGTGCAGAAAATGCTACGTGTGTGTATACCAACATGGTAAACTGCTATGAATTTTACCACAAAGATGCTGATATTGTTTTTCCAGCACAACTGATTGAAGCTGTGAGTAGAGCTGAATCTTCGAAGGCAAAACTGAGCTGCTCAGGTTTTTTTAACTTGCTGGCCAGTGAAAACAGTATCTTTGCTTTTCTTGGCAACAGTCTAGTGCAGAATACTTATTAATTCACTTACCAAAGAACATAGGACGTGCTGAGTCCAAGTGGTTTGTTGAAATCCTGGTCCAGGGTCCTCTGACAATGGTTCTCATTGGCTTTGCACATAGCCCTTTGAACATAGACAAAAAATCATACATGTGAGTAGCCTTACTTCAGGCTCAAAAAAAAGAAGTCTTTAAAACCCTTGCTGTAGAAATTGATTTATTCAGATATATTACCATCTGTCTTAGAATTAGTTTGTTAGATGTTGCCTCTCCTACCTTTGGTATCTTAGAAGTTTTTCATGCTTGTCCACCTTCTTTTTGTCTTCATATTTTACTGATGTAGCTGCTAAATCTTTGCCAAAAATCTTGCAAAAGAACCTAATTTTCAGTTTGTCTCAGGAACCAGAGCTTAAGAGCTTGTCTATGACTAGCTACGTATTTTAAGATCCCTGCTTACATATTTTTTACCCCATTTGAAATGGACTATTTGTTTACTGCTGTAATCCTTTTGGAGGCTGATATTTGGTGACATGCTGCATCATGGCTGTGGAAATGTTTTCCCTTACTTGGAATGTACATTCAAGATACTTTTATTTGCCTTTGGAAAATAAAAAGCCATTCTGCAACCTCCCATGCATTCCCTGAAGTCCTGAGTCCAAAGACTGACTTCATTGTCTAAGCTGATCTTTGCCCATGAAAAAGCTACAGTCTTATTATTGTTTCATTGCCATTATCCTTATCCTTCTAAATTAATTTAAACTGAGGCAAGAGTGATGACAAAATTGCATTTCATCAAAAGGGGCAGCAGCTTGTCGGTGTTGATGGCTCAGCAGCTGACCTAGCTTTGTTTTGGTGCCCATGGCAACACTGGAGGAAGGAAATGACAGTCTTCTTAGCATATTTACTCAGTTAGTTCACTTGCACTTCTAACCCAGATCCTAAGGCTGATAGCTCAGTGGCATTTTCCCATCAAGGTCTTTTCCTCACAACAGTGGGAAAGACTGAAATAACATGTCTGTCTCTCCCTTCTGCTTAATGTCTCTTGAGAAAAGTGGTCACAGCAAGAGAGATCAAGTTACGTGATGGCTAAGGTAATTTTAATGCTTATGATACTGACCAGAGACCAGCAGAACTTCAAGTCAGCCATGCCCTCTGGTGATCGTGGGCCACACAGAGCCCATGGGGCCCAACTCTACCCAAGGGGCTGAATTGCCTCTTGGTAAAATAAACAATAAAATTCTATATCCTCTAACTGTGCTAAGTCTTGTCAGACCTGGGGTCTGTTTTGGTTTTTTGTTTGTTTGGGTATTTTTATTTTGTTTTGTTTTGTTGCTTTTTTTTTTTTTTTTTTTTTTTTTTTTTTTTTTTGTAAGACACAGGTGCCAGTGGGGTCCAGGTCTCTGGTTTTGCTGAGTGAGCTAATATAGAGAAAGATCTGAGAGACTCCAGCTTCAAGGACAGTCAATACCCAGACTGCCTTCAAAAACTTGTCCCGCTCCCTGCAGACTATATATCTCCTTTGCAATGAGGCACAAGTATTAACATCAGACCTTGAGAATGCCAGTAAAGACTCTTGATTGGAGGTGGATAGTTCAGCTCTTCTTAATCACAAAAAGTAAGGGTTTTCAAACATAAGAACTTTTTTAAATAAAAATAACCTTCAGACAGAGGTTAGCAGCTGGAGGAGCTCTGAGGGTGAATCAGGGTATTTTTAGGATGATGGAAATAGCCACTTCTGTCTTCCCAAAGCTTCTTAAAAGTGTCTGTCCTGTGTTCATCCTTATTCTTACAGAGTGATGTCATTGTTTCCATCTTGTGTATTTTATTTCCTTGGATACGAAGCAGGCGGGGGCTATAGAAACTGGGTGTGTGGCTGGCCTGGCCTTTGATAAGGCTGTGCATGTGTGGGCAATGCATGAAGCAAGAGGTATATAAAGTAACAATACTGGGACTGGGAACTGTGCTGGCATATTGCGACCTGCTGGTTTTGGTTAAAAGGCATTACTGCATGGGTGTGGAATGTGTCAGGGACGTGGAGGGAGAGGATGTGGGAAGCTAGTCTTATTGTTTTACCCCCCTACAATAACAAAACCCCAAACCCTTTCTCATTTTTAATCAGATTTCAAAGCATTGCAAAAAATCCTTCCATAGCTGAAAAACCCCAAACAATAATAGAGGGAGAGGTGAAAGTAAAGGCACTTCTTAATACTTGTGATCACAGCTGATGAAACATAGCATGGGGTGGAGTTTGCCATGAAGATGTCCTCTCCTGAGCTGTTGCTGTGTGTTTGGCACAAGCCCAGACCCAGACACGCCAGCTGGTCAGGAGTTTGGCCTTTGCTGCCTGGGTGGCTTTGCAAGGGCAAGGATGAAGTGGGGCTTTGCCGGCTGGGCTCTGCTCTGCTTCACTGCCCACAAGACCAGAGTGCTCTCACACTCTGAGGTTTGGTCAGGGGCCCGTTTTCTTAGAGCTGAGTAAACATTTGTACTGAGAAATGTTTCATCTTGTTTCCTC